AAAAAAGTTTTAATGATGAATTTGAGGAGGTGCAGGGGTAGGGATACCAGCCTCGGGAGCTTCGGGGTGGGTGCTGGCCTGGGGAAGCATCAGGTTGACTCTGAGTTCCCTGGTGTGGCTCATAAGGGGGAGCTGAGATCCCACAAAGGAGGCTGGAATTTTCACAACTCATGGCTTTATCAGGGTCCACCTGTGTGTCCTGCAGGAAGATGCTGACCTGCCATTGGACCACCAAGGGGTCTCTGCCCGGCCTCTCTCGGTGGCTGGTGGGGAGCACGGTGAGAGTGAGGACATTGTTCCAATAAGCAGGACCCTGACTCACAGCCCCAGTGCCTGATGTCAGTTTTGCTGCTCTCGCTAGAGTCCACTTCTCCAAGGGAAGCCAATTCAGGGTAGCCGACTTCTTGGCTTTCTTCTTTCAAGGGTGGGGAGGAAAAAGGGAGTTGCAGTGAGAGACCTCAGGTCTGGGTTACATGTGAAGGTGGGAGCTCCCACTCTTCACCTTCAGGTTGGCAAGTGTGACAAACCTATGGCAGATGTCATGGTCCCTTTCACTGTGACTTTCAAGGAAGGCCAGGGAGCTGCAGTGAGTGCCCTTTGCAGAAAATCATGGTCAGAGAGGATTTTGAAACTTCAGCAGGGATAACTTCAGCCCGGGCCGTCTGTGTGGGAATAGGGGAGTTCTGAAACTGCCTTCCTCCGCACCCCTCCGCCCCCTCAGAGGCCAAGGGCTGCCAAACCCGGCTCCCACACACCTCACCAGAAAGTCCCTGGCTTCCCTCCCAGCTGCCTTGCAACTGACCTCATGAGGTGTGAGAAGGAGGAAAGGAATCTACATTTCAGATGAACCTTCCTTCCTCCTTTCTGAGAAGCGGTCCAGGCCGCCCACACCTGCCAGGCCATGCACATGGCTCCTCAGAGCCCAAGGCCCTGTGGCTTGTCCAGCCTGCTTGAGAAGTAGCCAGGGACGCTGGGACAGCGAGCCTGTATGAGTTTGTCGGGGCTGCTGTAACAAAGGACCACAGGCTGGGGTGGCTGAAAACAGCAGAAATCCATTCCCTCTGGGCTCTAGAGGCCAGGAGCCTGAGGTCGAGGTGCGGCAGGGCTGGGCTGCCTCTGGAAGGTCCTACGGTAGGATCTTTCCTTGCTTCTTCCAGTTCATGGTGGCTGCAAGCAATCCTTGGGTTCCTTGGCTTTTAGATGTTATCACTCCAGTCTTTACATGGCTGTCTTCCCTCTGTCTCTTCTCTTCTTATAAGGACATTGTCACACCTGTCAAGGACCGGCCTACTCCAGTATGACTTCATCTTAACTAATTACAACTGCAAGGACCCTATTTCCAAATAAGGGGGCATCTGAAGTTCCTGGTGAACATGAACTTGTGGGACACTGGTCAGCCTGTAACAGAGCCCCACCATCCACCCCTTCCCCTCCCTTCAGAGCAGACCCTTACCCCATGCAGGATGCCCTGCCTCTTCTTTCCAGTGCCCAGGAGTAGTGACCCCAAAATAAAATGGCATTCCCTCCCTCCAGGAAGGCCCGGCCTAGCTAGTGGGAGATCAGAGAACCCAAATCTCTTCAGGGACAGGCATCTATATGCCCAAGGGACACCCACTTGGAATTTTTTTCCAGCTTTATAGAGATGCTTCAGGATTTCTTGGCTCCTGGCCAATCCCAAAGGGAACGAGCCCTCTGAGCCTTCCAATGGGCCATTCCAGACCAAGGTTTACAACCCAGATGGGAAAACTGGCACTTGCTCCTTCAGCCTCACCTCGAGCCCAGTTTGGGGTCTTCTCCATGGGAGCTGCTAAGGAAGCTCCGCCCCCCATCTTTATGACTGACCAGCCCCTTCCCCCTGGGGGAGCCGAGGTCCCCCTGTTCAGAAAGCTGTGAAGGAGTGGTGGGTTCCTGGGCCTCTTGTAACCCAGCTGAATATTTTCCAGGTTATCTAACCAAACTCCTGCAAAACCACACCGCCTATGCCTGTGATGGGGACCGTTTGAATCTACAGTGCCCTCGGCATTCCACGATAAGTGTCCAATCGGCATTTTATGGGCAGGATTACCAAATGTGTAGTGCCCAGCAGCCTGCCTCCCAGAGGGAAGACAGCGTAGCCTGCGTGGCACCCACCACGTTGCAGGTACTGCCCTTCGTAGCTGCTTTAAGATGATAAAATGGTTCTCATTCTCTCTCCCTCCCTCCCTCCCTCTCTCCCTCTCCCCATCTCTCTCTCTCTGTATATATGCTTGTGATTACATAGTTCACTTAAAGCAAACCTGGTCCATGAAAACCCCAGTTCATACAAATCACCAATTTCACGGGTGAGCTATTATTTGCTTCTCAAAAGGATTCTTCACCAAACAAGTCTAAGTGGAATTCCTACTTCCTGGAGAACTCCCGTAAAACACTTGCAATATGAATTTATCCGGAGGCACACTCCCCACTGTAGTAAAGCCAAGTACAGTCACGTTGGGCTTTGACCTCCAGGACCACCCCTCCTGTCAATACCCCAGCAGAGAGGGAAGAGTGAGGATGCTTTAGTGGAAACGACAAGGTGTCTGTGAGGCCAACAGCCAAGGTCATGATCAACTTCTCAGAGAATGCACTGGAGGGAGGGAAACCTCAATCACAGTTGTTCTTTAAAAAATGGTTTGCAGGGCACCTGGGTGGCTCAGTCCTTGGGCGTCTGCCTTCGGCTCAGGTCATGATCCCGGGGTCCTGGGATCGAGCCCCGCATCAGGCTCCCTGCTCGGCAGGAAGCCTGCTTCTCCCTCTCC